ACTACTTCAATGTAGAACCATAAAAACAAATATGAAATGTTTTTTTTAAAGATTTTTTTAAAATTACTTAATAAAAAACACTTTAAATTAAATAAATTAAAATATTTATTAAAATAGAGCATCAAAGTGTAATACAAAATTTAAAAAGTAGAGTTTTAGTATTTAGGTCTTTTAGGTCCAGTAGGTCATTAGGTCCAACCGGTCCAATCGGTCCGGACCTAAATCATTTCGGGTTTGGACCGGACCGGACCGAAACCCGAATGCCAAAATTTTCTGGACCGAAGACCGACCCGAAATCCATTCGGTCTGGGTTCGGTCTGGACCTATCGGTCCGGTTCGGTCGGTTTTTTCGGTCCGGACCTAAATGTGAACAGCCCTAATGACCGGTGTGGGATTGTGTAGTGCATGGATGGCTGAAAATGCTACTTAGTATTTATATTTTTGATAGACTTATTTATTTAATGGAATATTATCTTAAATAATCTCACCTTTTAATGTTTTTTTCAAAAATAATCTCACTTTTCATTGTCACCAGAAATAATCTCACCTTTTTGCATGTGTGCGAGTTTTGGTCCGCCGTTAAAGGTTAACGACCACTTAACCGATTTTTTGGGAAATGCATGTTTTTTCTCAAATAAATAAAAGGTGGGATTATTATAGGCAAATTTACTTTTTTATTTTTTTAATTTTAATTTTAAAATTATGTTTTTGAAAATAAAACAATACACTCTTGTTAGAGATTTCTCTCAATTTTTTTTTAATACAATGATTTACAAAACTTGTTTTATGTTTTGGGGGAAATATAATATTGGATTATCAAAAAAATAATCCAGAGTATCGCACAAGAAAGAAATTGCAATATAAAAGAATTGTAGTGAGATATAAAAGTAATTAGTGCCATTTTGGAGAACAAAAATATTATGTCATTTTCACAACTTTTGAATTATTATTTTGGTGAAAAAATTTGTACTGAAATATCGAAAAAATCACATGTTGGGTAGTTTCATTTTAGAAAAAAATAATATGCATGGGTAATAGCAGATTATCAATAAACATTTCGGAGTGTTGTTCATGAAAAAATTGCAATATAATAAAAAATGTCGTGAGTAATAAAAATAAAAGTTCCATTCCAGAGAAAAAATTATTGTGTTATTTTCACAACTGTTGTAATGTTGTTTTGCAAAAAAAACTTTTATACAGAATTATCAAAAAATATTCACAAATTTTGTAGTACAATTTTAAAAAAATTGTATATATAAAAAAATAATTCGAAGTGTTGCTCAAGAAAAATAATTGCAATTACAATAAAATTGAGTGAGTTATGAAGTAAATAAATTAGTTCCATTGTGTAGAATAATTCATTGTTCAATTATTACTAGATTATCGATTATAGAAAAAAATCATTAGTTTCACTCTAAAAATCACTACATTTGGTGGAGTGTTATTTATAAAAACATTTTTGAAAAATACATTTAAATTTAATGTTAGAAATTAAGAAAGGAAAAAAATTACCTTAAATAATCCTACCTTTCAGTTATTTACGAAAAACAGGCACTTTCCTAAAATTCTGTTAAGTGGTCGTTAGCTTTTTAACGGTGATCCAAAACGCGTATATATGTAGAAAGGTGGGATTATTTCCGGTGACAGTGAAAAGTGAAAATTTTTTTGAAAGAGAGTGAAAATGTGGGATTATTTGAGATAATTTTCCCTTTATTTAATTATAAAGATGTTTTTGATGTTCAAGGTTTTCACACAACTTTGTTAATTGCTCCGTTGAGACTATGTTTTAAATGACAATGAATGTTTTATATTTAAATGATTTTGAATTTTTATGCATATGGATAACAATTTATGCGGTAATCCGGTTCGCTAACACATTGGTTTGGGTTACACCGGTTAGGGTGTTGTAACTAATTTCTTAGCCTAGAGGTAAATCGGACTCCATACACTCTTTTTGTGTCACAGAAAAATATGTTTTTGAGCTTTTCCATCGGGATGGTTTTGACGACAGCAAACCAAATTTAGTAGCAACCTAGTTTGCTAATTTATTTATTCGGGTTACGCGGGTTGGGGTGTTACATGCATCCTCCATTATCTTAAAGGTACCCTGCATCATGGTTTTCTTTTTATAAAGGCTCCATGGATGTTGCTATTTACACTAGTTCTGGCTGGGCTAACGACAAATATGATTGGTGTTCTACTACTGGCTACCTTATTATGCTTGGGCCAAATTTAATCTCTTGGTGTACAAATAATTAGACTCGTTTATCACGATCTTCCACAAAAGCCAAATATCACGCCATGGTCAGGGGGTGGCGGAGGCCATGTAGCTTCGTTACATCATAAATGCACTTGGCATTCCTCCGTCAAAACCAATGATTTTCTATGGCATTCACAAAGAATATTATTTAGATGCTCGTATGAATCATGTTAGTTATGATTGTCACTTTGTACAATATGAAGTTATATGTGGTACAATGTCTACTCATCATGTTCCGTCATCTGAGTACTTATATATATATATATATATATATATATATATAT